AAATGTTTTATATCATTCTCATTCCTATTCTACACCATTCTCATAGCACAGCTGGAGAAACCAAATACCATGAGATGCCATGAGGTGACTTGTGACTCCAGGTCCTCCAGAGCAATCACAGGCCTGGCCAGAGTATGAGTGAGGAAGAGAGGAAAGAATGTCTTCCCCACTTTGCAGAGCTGCGTGGGCGTGGCAGTTACACAGCTCTTCCCTTTCTAACTGGGTGACCTCAAGCAAGCCTTCTCTTCTCTAAAGTGGGAAAATAATCGTATCTTCCCCAGGACACTGATGGAAGAAGGGAATGAGGCTGAGCATCTGCCGGCCACAGACCTTAGTATTTGGAGCCTTCACAAGTGCCCCACTGGCCTGTATGCCATATTGTGGAGATTTTCTCCAAATGGTTCCCTTACATCATCATCATCTACATGCTCCATGCTCAGGATTCACTGAATGCCTTCTTGGGAGAGAGGAGACCCAAGCCAAAAAGAGGAAAGAGCTAAGTCTGAGGCCTTCTGAAGGTGGTTAAAAAGTATAATGTAATATGGGGCTCCTGGATGGCTCAGCTGGTTGAGTGTCTGACTCTCAATTTCAGCTCAAGTCATGATCTCATGGTTCATGAGATCAAGTCCTCCATTGGGCTCTGTGCTGGCAGCAGGGAGCCTGCTTGGTATTCTTTCTCCCTCCTTCTTTCTGTCCCTCCCCCACTAGCATGGGCTCTCTCTTTCAAAACAAATAAACAAATATTTTTTAAATAAAATAAAAAGTATAATGGATAAAAACTAAGACAGATAATTGAGCATTTCTTCTGTGACCATCACAGAATGAAATCCTTTATCCAGTGCCTCATCCAGTCTTGCTACCAACAATCAAGGAGGAAGATGCTCTTACTACTCCCATTCTAAAGAAGAGGAAACTGAGGACTGGAGAACACAGTCACTTAAGGTCACCCAGCTACAAATGGCCAAATTCCAAGAGCCAATGGCAACCTGTGCAAAGAGAAGAAACACCGTACCTCCTTTCTTACCCCCAAACTCACACCTTCACATGCAGGACAAGCCAGGAAACTTGCCCAAAGTCTGATAACTCAAGCCAGTTGTTGTTTTATTCAGGGTCTACCCTTCTCTCCTCTCCTTCCCCTAAACAAAGCAGCCTCACTGTTTTATCAGGAGATATAGATAGTAACTGGTAAGAAAAACAAAACTCAGATAAATTTTGAAAGAAAATGTGGCATTACTTTAATCAAATCTCTTCCTTTGAGCTTATGGGCAGAATCTCGTCCTGGGAATAATCCTCCATAATTAAAAGTCCCTTGCTTTTGTTTTCTTTCTCTTTTGTATTGTATCAAAGACCATAGATGATGATCTTTTTCAACAACAGAAAGACTCTCAGAAGAAGTCAGCTGTGTCTCCATTGGCAGCCTGGCTACAGACGGTGCATGTGGTGGGTGATGAAGAGAACATCTTGTCTCTCTGAGGTACCCCCTGGGCAGAGTAGCTCCATCAAGGAAAGAGGTGGAGGCCCAGAATCACATGAAATGGGCAACAAAATCAGACCAGGAGCTGAATGGGTCTAACTTTGTCAAAGGAAATGCTACAGATAGGCCTTCATCACTACATGGCAATACACCCCACAGAAGGCCTGCCTCTTTAAGAAGAGACAAGTTCCAGGGGTGCCTGGGTGGCTTAGTCAGTTAAGCATGAGACTCTTGGTTTTGGCCCAGATCCTACTCTCACAGTTCGTGAGTTCGAGCCCCGCATCAGGCTCCATGCTGACAGTGCGGAGCCTGCTTGGGATATTCTGTCTGTCTGTCTGTCTGTCTGTCTTTCTCTCTCTCTCTCTCAAAAAGGTACTAATAAATAAATAAATTTCAAAAAGAGACAAATTCATTCAGCTGGCAGCTAGTGAAGGGAGAATGTTTGTCCTTAGACTGAAATGTGAAACAAATATCCACTCTTTTCTCTGAGACACATTCAGAAAAGACACTGTAATCCCCCTTTCTTCCCTCAAGGAGAAGAAAGGAAAGCACAGGGATGCTAGGATGTTTGTCCCCAGATCACACAATGGTCAGTGTCAGGCACACAAGGAAAATGCATTTGCCTCTGACTGACTCTTTTATTGGATAACAAGGCAAAGTTTACCACCTACTTCATTCCTGGAAGCTGAAAATAGAAATATGCAGTTATAATATGGATTCCATCTCAATAGCATAATCACCAAATCTATTTTTCATATTTCAGTAAAGATGTAAATCAGTATTACATTTAAATATTTACACTCCCCACATGGATTGTCATGTGAATGATATAGGTACAGGTATGATGCATGATATAATGTAATATTAATACTTAATCTCAATAGGATAATTTCTCATTTATTTTAGGATCAGATACTTCCAGTAGCTCTCTGGCCTACCATCTACCTTGAATATAACAAGAAATTTTAGGGAGTCATTTGCTGTCATATAATTATTCATAACAAATATTCACTGGATACTTCCTAGGTACCAGATACTATAATATATACCAATCTACTCTTGCTTGGCTTTGCAATTTCTTGACATTGAAAAATGTTCAAAATTAAATTATGTGGGGCACCTGGGTGACTCAGTCAGTTAAGGGTCTGACTCTGGATTTCACCTCAGGTCATGATCTCACAGTTCAGAGGTTCGAGCCCTGTTTTGGGCTCTGTACTGTCAATGCTTGGGATTCTCTCTCTCCCTATCTTTCTGCCCTGCCCCTCATCAGTCATTCTCTCTCTCTCCCTCTTTCTCTCTCTCTCTCTCTCCAACTCTCAAAAGTAAATAAAAACATTTTAAAAATCTTTTTAAAACAGTTATGTAATGGAAGAAATTTTAGACCACCATGATTCTTAAAATACCCCAAGTGGCAAGTCACTATCCCCCAAAAGTGATGTTGTTTGGCTTTGAGACAAAAAGAAATCCCAAGGTCATAGCCACTAAAGACAGTGAAAATCCTGAAGCATTCCCTCAAGTAAGGCTCTCAGTCCAGGTCTTGAATTTTGAGTTCCAGCAGCTAGTAGTCACCAAACTTTCAAACAAGAGATCCAGTGTCAATGTTCTCAAGTAAAGAAACACACAAGAGGAAACTGTCAATTTTTTAAGCAGCTTTTAACTGTCCTCTAAGAGCTAACTCAATTCTAAATGAAAACATACATTCTTTCCTTGGCTAGTCACCAATGCCCTTGCCATAACTTTGTGATCATTGATGATTCTCCTAAGTTCCCTGAGATAATTAATTCCACACAATCATGAAATAAATGCTTCAGAAAGGCATTTTCTTTCTTTGGCACTGAGTCTACCCAAAGACAGCCTGAGGTTTTAAAGAACTGGCCAAAAGATCACACAAACAGAAAGGAGAATGGTGGTTGCCAGAGGCTAAGGAAGAAAGAAATGGGGAGCTGTTGTTTAATGGGCATAGAGTTTCAATTTCCAGGATGAAAGTTCTGGAGATTGGTTGCGCAACAGTGAGAACATACTTAAGAGTCCTGAACTGTACACTTAAAAATGGTTAAGTAAGGCATGTAAAGTTTATGTTGTGTGTTTTCTACCATAGTTTACATCTTTTTAAAAACTGGCTGACAGAAGGGCATCTGGCTGGCTCAGTCAGTAGAACATGCAACTTGTCATCTTTGGGTCATTAGTTCAAGCCCCATTTTTTAGGCGTGGAGCCTACTTTTAAAAAATGGCTGACAGAAAGAATTAATTCTGAATGAAGTTCAGGAGCAACATTCAAATGTTTGTTTCTGTATTTTTTCAAGGTTTAAATATTCAATTGGGAGCTAACAGTTTAGAGCATTTTCTAGTAACTAGTCCCTCCAAGTTTCTTGGCAAATGAGACATTTGTTCTAATACCTTAAACAGTAGCACTATTGATAGTTAGATGAATATTAGAATAACACATTAGAATAACACAATTTCTACTTTTCACTTAATTCTACTAGATCAGAACCTTCCTAAACATTTTCCTGCTAACCAAATTCCTCTCTCTTCTGTCAACCCGATAGATTCTAGAGAAAGGCACCTGGTTTAGGGAATTACCCACATGATCCTTTGTTTTGTTGCACTGGTTCTCCCTTTAGGATGCAGTTCTACATACACATTCTCATCTGTACTTCATAACTGCTCTGTGACAGAAAGATGGGGCAGGAGGTCAGTCTTTCTAAACCTGCTACATGCCAGGCATCATAAGCACTCTGTACACAGTCATTCATCCTCACAAGAGGCTGTGAGGTACACCTAGGTGATTAAAACCAAGGCACTAGAGCTAAGGAATTTGCTAAAGTCTTAGAGTTAGGAAGGAAAGTATGGAGCCAGAATTTAAACCTAGAAGTCTAACCCACGTGTATCCCACATACATTCACTACATCACTGCTAATATGAGTACATGGGAAAGCCAGACTGAAAAGAGATTCAGAGACCTGGCAATTATACTAGACCATACGTTTACAGAAAATCAAAGGGACAAGGGGTGCCTGGGTGGCTCAGTCAGTTAAGCACCTGACCATGGCTCAGGTCATGATCTCACGGTTTGTGGGTTCAAGCTCCACGCCAGGCTCTGTGCTGACAGCTCAGAGCCTGGAGCCTGCTTCAGATTCTGTGTCTCCCTCTCTCTCTGCCCCTCCTCCACTCATGCTCTGTCTCTTCCTCTCTCTCAAAGATAAAAATAAAAGCATTTAAAAAATAAAATAAAACAAAGAAAAGAAAGGAAAAGGGAGGGAGGAAATAAGAAGTGGCCTTAATGTCCGGTAGATTAAAACTGAGGCTAATCTTATCCTAGGAACAAGAGCATTAGCTCTGCCTTTCCCTTGCTGTTTCCACATGCCTGCCCTGTAAGACTGTCTTGATCCACAGCTTATTCGAAGGAATCTTTTAAAGCCATATGTTCATTTTGTGGGTGTTAATTTAAACAAGATAATATAAATCATAAGTGCATATAACCACACGCATATGTGGTGTGTGTGTGTGTGTGTGTGTGTGTGTGTTTTATAACAGTCTATTTTAATAGAAACAACGGTTGGAATCAATCAATGTCCATTGCAGGAAGCTTCTTGTCGGAACCCGAAGGCGCAGCTGTGCCTGTGCCCTGCTCTGCAGCCTGAGGGCCTGGGCCATCACTAGGGCCGTCCCCTTGCCCGCCCACCGGCCCATTCTGCTCAGCGGCTTCTTGCTCCTCTTTTGGAGGTTCCACTCTGGGCTTTGGCTTTGAAACTACAGGCCCACAGGTACTTATCAGCTCCTTAATTTTAGCTTCAATCTCTCTTGCCTTGACAATGGGATCCACAGTCAGACTCTGCTTGTTCTGCAGATTCAGTCTGTTATTCATCCACTCCATGGCTTCATTCGTGCTCTTCTCCATCTTCATCATGTCTACAGCATCCAAATTGTCATACTGGTCCTCCTTGTTTTTGAAAGAGTTGATTACTTTCATATACTGTTGGATTTGTTTCCCTAGTTCTTCAAATAATTTTGGTCTTTCTTCAGATTCCTGGAATCGCATCTTAATAGGGTGACCTAGATTTTTTAATTCTGCCAATTTATCGACATAAAGTTGCTTTGGCTGGTCTTCTCCATCCTCATACAACCAATTTTCAGTATCTTCTAATTTCAAGGTAAAACTGTTTCGATCAGCCTCACTCACAAACTTCTCGTACTCGCCGCTAAGCTTGTCCCTCATCTCACACACATACTCTTCCACAGTGTTCTTGGCAACATTCCTCTCCTTCTCCAGTTTATCCTGCATGATCATCTTACCCTCATTTTCAATGTACAAGTTGAGCATCTCTCGGTCTATCTGCCACAACAGCTGATTCTCAATGGGCAGGTCCACAGTACTGGTCTTCACTTTTGCCTTCTTGGCTTGGGGTGGTTGGTCCATCTTTCTGTCTTTTGATCCAGCTTGAGAGGTCTCCATTTCTTCAGATTCTGCCTTATTTTCTGCTGGTGTGTGCTGCTGCTGCTGCTGCTGCTGCTCTTCAGCATGGGGTTCCTCTTGGTCCACTTGCATTTTCTCTTCCTCTTTTGCGTTCTGATCTGTTTCCATCGGTTCCTCATTTTCCTCAAACTTGAGCACTCCCACTAGAGATGCACTGGACACACTGAAGATGCAATGGACATTTACTCACACCTTGACTTTCACCTTTGAACTGGAGCCATCAGACTGAGGAGTGACTTCATACTCCACAGCACACCAGAAGCAACAAAATAAATGAGAATACTATTGTCAACCACTCCCCATGAGATAGAATTCCCAGTCATACCTTTCAGTACCTCATGATTATGACCTATGGCCATCTGCCTTATGAACCTGACAAGCATTCCAGTGTCAAGCTGAATGCCAAATAGGGGGAAAACAAACAAACAAAAACAAAACCTAAAGTCTTTCTAGGTAGCATAAAAAGTAAAATCCCTCCAAATATAAAATCATAAAACACAGAAATTCTGAATGATATAGTTTTCATCCATTAAAATATAGAGCTAAGCTTGAATGAAAATAAGGAAAAGTTTGGGAGCAAAGGGGAAGAAGATATTGTAAAGGAGGTGGTAAGTATTAGCTAGAGCCAACCTATGTATCTTTGTCAATCATGGTAACCAAGAGCCTTGCCTCTGACAGCCACACAGGAGCCAGGAAGGCAAAGTATAAGTTGGTACAGAGACCCCCTCCATAAAGTCCAAGTCGTGTTAGTTACAGCAACAGATTCAGTGGAAGAATGGAACAAAAAATAATAATAAAATTGGCTGGCTAGCAAATGGAGATAATAAGAAAATATGTCTGTCTTAGTCTGAGCTCAGGAGGGGAGCACTCTTAATCCTAGACATGCCCTCACATGGGTGTATGATTTGAACTTGTACCACAGAAGTGACTTAGGGAAAAATAAGAAAGACGTTAACTTAAAAGAACTCCAAGATTGGTAGCTATCCAGGGCACCAAATAGAAGCAAACCCAGATCGACTCTACAGAGAAATGTAATCAACCCAAACTCAAAAGATCCCCAAAGATAACACACCACAGAACACAGATTCAGAATCCAAAAATATATAATTACTCAAGCTGTCATGGGTGAGAATCAACAGAAACAACTGCCAGCAAAATTAGAGCCCTAGGAATGATCAGGTATGCAATACAAAATAAATATATAAAATGTTTACATAAATTAAATGGAATAAAAATATTTATAAGGAAAAATAAATATTAAAAGGTCTCAGAGAATAAACTAAGGAATTAAAAAAAATTCTGTGGGTGGGTTAAACCACAGATTAGACACAGGTGAAATGAGAATTGCTAAACTAGAAGTTACTTCTGAAGAAATTACCTGTAAGGCAGCAAAGAATGACAAAGTGAGAGAAAATACAGGAGAGAATAGAGACTAAAAGTTGCCACAATATCCTTCAGGGGATGGATGCGACTGACCATTCAGTTTTGTTTCTGGGTTGCTTTTAGATTGATTTACTCGTGAAGCTGTAAGTAAGGAAATAAAGGTGATATGGTTAAAAGAAAATTGAGGTGACTGCCACTGCTTTTTCACTTGTAAGTTTCAGAAGCAAACAAGAGGTAGGAAGAAGGAAAACTGTCATTATTCACAAACATGATTGTTTATGTAGAAAATCCAATGGAATCTATAAAATAATCTAGAAGAACTAGCAAGTGAGTTTAGCATGATGAAAAGATACAATTTCAATATTTAAAAATAAACTGTATTTTACTATACTACCAATGAATACTTGGAAATTGAAAAAATTTTAATGCAATTTAAAGTTGCATCAAAATCCATAATATTTGTAGGATGTAATCTGACAAATTATGTGCAAGACCTATACATTGAAAACTACAAAACACTGCTAAGGGAAATTAAATGAGGTCTCAACAAATGGAGAAATATAATATGTCCATGAATCAAAGGACCCTATAATGTTAAGATGTCAGTTTTGCTCAGGGGCGCCTGGGTGGCTTAGTCGGTTAAGCGTCCGACTTTGGCTTAGGTCATGACCTCGCGGTTCGTGGGTTCGAGTCCCGTGTCGGGCTCTGTGCTGACTGCCAGCTCAGAGCCTGGAGCCTGTTTCAGTCTGTGACTCCCTCTCTCTCTGACCCTCCCCTGCTCACGCTGTCTCTCTCTCTCTCTCCTAGAAATAAATAAAAACATTTAAAAAAATTTAAAAAGATGTCAGTTTTGCTCAAATTAATTTACAGACTCAACACAATCCCAATCAAAATCCCAGCAGACTTTTTTGTTGATATTGGAAAGATGATTCTAAAATTCATATGGAAATGCAGAGGACTTACAATAGACAGAAGGACTTGAGAAAGAACAAAAATGAAGGACTTTCACCACTGCACTTCAAAACTTAGAATAAAATACCAACAAAAACCAGAAACAACCCAGAAGTGCATCAACAGGTAAATGAGCAAACTGCAATATAACCATACAAGAGAATGCCATTCAGTTATAAAAGGGTATGAAGTATAATTAATATGCACAGCAACACGAATATAAAAATAATTATGTTGATAAAAGATGACAAATAGAGTTCATACTGTTAGATTTTGTTTACATATAATTCTCAAAAATGCAACTACATATAGTAACAGAATTAGATCAGTGAAAACCTTGTGGGGTGAGAGGTCAAAGAAGAAATCACAATGGGGCATGAGAAGACTTTCGGTGATGGATATTGTCTTTGTAAAAGGATTTAAAACACCATGGCAGCAAGACCTCAGATTCCCTTGACTTTGACTCTTACCTTTTTCCTGCCCCCTTTAATTTGCTACTCCTTACTTTCCTCCAAACATTGGCTAACCCAAAACCCACAAGTGTTAGAAAAATAGCTCTTGGGAGAATTGTTCTGACAGTTATCTGGATAGGATTGCACTAGCTATGCCAAGCAAGAAGCACAAAAAGGGAACAATCTCTAAGGACTCCAGATATGAGATTCATAGCAGTTAAACACTAAAACTTCTACAAGAAAAACTGCCACTATTTGCAGATGACATGCTACTGCAGAATATACATATATATATATATATTTTTTATTTTTTTATTGATTTCTAGGAGAGAGACAGAGACAGCGTGAGCAGGGGAGGGTCAGAGAGAGAGGGGGAGATACAGACTCTGAAATTGGCTCCAGGCTCTGAGCTGGCAGTCAGCACAGAGCCCGACGCGGTGCTCGAACCCACGAACCGCGAGATCATGACCTAAGCGAAAGTCAGACGCTTAACCGACTAAGCCACCCAGGCGCCCCCAGAATATACATATATTGCAGTATATGCAGAAAACCTTAAGACTCCACTGAAAAGCTATTAGAATAAGTAAATTCTGAAAAGATGCAGAGTACAGAATACACAAATATCTGTTGTGTTTCTATATACTAATAACGAAGTAACAGAAAAAGAAATTAAGAAAGCAATTTCATTTGCAATAGCACCAAAAAGAAAAAAAAAAATACCTAGGAATAACTGTAACCAAGGAGGTGAAGGACCTAGATTCTGAAAACTGTAAGACATAGATGAAAGAAATTAAAGATAACAGAAATAAGTAAAAAAGATGTACCATGCTCATGGATAGGCAGAATTAATACTGTTTAAATGTCCATACTATCCAAAGCAATATACTACCACAGGCAAGATTTAACATAATTTCTATTGAAATACCAATGGCATTTCTCACAGAACTAGACAAAAAATACTAAAACTTGTATGGAACCCAAAGCAATCTTGAGAAAAAAGAACAAAGCTGGAAGTATCATAAGCCCTAGTTCAAACTATACTACAAAGCTCTGCTAAGCAAGACACTATAAGTACAGCACAAAAAATAGACACACAGATCGATGGGACAGAACAGAGAGGCCAGAAATAAACCCATGCTTATATGGCCAATTACTCTATGATGAAGGAGATGCAATGAAGCCAAGACAGTCTCTTAAATAAATGGAACTGGGGAAACAGAACAGCTACATGCCAAAAAATTAAACTGGACCAATTTGTTAAACCACACACAAAGGTAAGACCTGAATATAAGAAATGAAATCACAAAACTCCTAAAAGAAAAAATAGGTGGTAAACTCTGGAATACTGGTTTTGGCAACATTTTTCTGGATCTGTCTCCCCAGGCAATGGAAATAAAAGCAAAATTAAACAATTGGGACTACATTAAACTAAAAAGCTTTTGCACAGCAAAAGAAACCATCAACAACCAAAAAAGGCCACCTACTGAAAGGGAAAAGGTATTTGCAAATGACATATCCAATAAGGGTGAGCATCCAAAATATAGAAAGACCTTACACAACTCAACACTCACACACACACACACACACACACACACACACACACACACACAATTTAAAAATGGGCAGGTGACTTGAATAGACATTTTCCCAAAGAGGACATACAGATAGCCAACAGACACATGAAAAGATGCTCAACATCACTCATCATCAGGGAAATACAAATCAAAACCAAAACCAGATATCACCTCACCTGTCAGAATGGCTACTATCAAAAAGACAAGAAATAATGAGGGTTCCTCATGTGCTGTTGGTAGGAATGTAAATTGGTACAGCCACCGTGAAAAAAAGTACAGAGTTTCCTGAAAAAAATTAAAAATAGAAATAACATAGGATCCAGTAATTTCATATTAAAGAAATATTAAAGAAAATAAAAACGCTAATTCAAAAAGATAGTGGCACCCTATGTTCATTGCAGCATTATTTACAACACTCAAGACATGGAAACAACCCAACTGCCCATCCATAGATGAATGGATACAGAAGATGTGGCGTATATACACACAATGGAATTGGTCATAAAAGAGTGAAATTTTGCCGTTTGTAACAATTTGGAGAGACCTAGGGGGTACTATGCTAAGGAAAGTGAATTATAAGGAAGACTAATACCATATGATTTCACTTATATCTAAAAAACAGAACAAATGAACAAAGAAACAATAACTACCACACAGAAACAGACTCATAAATACAGAAAGCAGAGTGGTGATTGCCAGACGAGAAGGTGGTCAGGAGATGAGCAAAATAGGTAAAGGGGACAATGAGGTACAAACTTCCAATTATAAAATAAATTAGTTGCAGTACAGCATAGGGATGGTGATAGATGGTAACTACGCTAATCATGGGAAGCATTTTGTAATGTGTATAAATTGAAATTACTATGATATATATCTGAAACCA